GAGTGATATAATTGCGTCCGCCGGTAACCATTTTTAAATATGTATTGACCATTTTCTATTGACTCGGATTTTAAACTTTCTGATCACTCATAAAGAAATTTAAATCATTTCACTTTATGCTAAGTATTTCGCTGAAAGGGGATATTGTCCAGAAGGACGACCAAAGCTCCACAACTAAATCAACCAGCTCAAAGAAAACTATTAATTGCAAATCATCCATCTGAGCTACAAATTTTCTCTATTAATTCTAACTTTTGTCAATTTGTGATAGACAGCGCAACCTACAGCTAGTGTCATCGGTATTTGTCCTCACGCTGAATTGATGGATGCCACTGGTGATTACGACTTCTCGACAGAACTGTATTCATTAATGAAAATTTATCCAATAAATAAAGTTTGGATTACATGGACGATGTCAGAATAAACAGCTCTGATTAATTTATACACTAATATTTTACTTATATTTATTAAAGTACAAACTTGGCACGTAATCAGTACCAAGAGATGCGCCACAAAAAGTCTCATTATTTGTAGATTTAGAATCTGGTTTTTTCAGTTGCTGGATATCGACCATCAGTCAGGTTGTAAGCACCCGGGGACGTCCGAATTTGTCCCTTGACTTCTGTGAGGAACACCCACCCACCAGGCAGTGTTGAAGACAGACGCTGCGTATGGATGCATGCATGGCCACATGTAATGTCATTTCGAGAGGTAGGCTAAAATCAACCCACCATCGGCTGTACCACGTCGTTTATGTACTAATGCTTCCTTTCTCTCAGGGATTCAAATCTGTGTTAATCAATGGTATAGTCAGAAACAACAAGCACCAATCCCTATCGACGGGAGAAATCTGAAAGTGGTCAATTGCTTCACAGCCAGACAGCACAGATAAGGCAAGACAGACCTTCATCATTCTATAATCAGGATAACAGACCAAATTAGGACCTTCAAAGCCAATGCTGAGTCAGTCAGTTCTTGTATATGGTATTTCCAACAGCCAGCTGCCAACTTCTTCAACATTTGCTTTCTCTGGTTCGATGCTGGGCAAAGTTCAACAATAACCTCCCAAGAAATGCGAACGCATGAGTGACCTTTAGCCGACCGAGCAATCATAAAAATGAGGAATTTTTGCACACAAAAAATGACGTTTTTTTGCAGGAAAATGCATGGAAACACACATTAAACAGGGTATCTTTTTCTGACATGACTTAAAAATACGTCCCGGTTATTATGAGGAGTATTCGTTGCTCTAAGTTAGACTAGTTCCTGCACATGTGTATTCAACGAGGTGACTAAAGATGAGTTGTTTTTGTGAATTGTTGATCTCTCTTAGCCATCCTGTTGTGCAGTCTTCCTCAAAAGCCCTTGGTTGAATTACTATGGTCTCCAGTAAGAAGATCAACGACGAATTACCAGGGAAATGTGTATAATAAAGCAAATTAAAATAAATGACGTCAACTCTAAATCTATCCCTAGTCGTAACCCTAACCCTTATCCAAACCGTAATGCTAATTATGACCCTGATCCTAACCCTAATCCTAACGAGCTATTTAATACATTGTCAAAATAGTAGTTAAAAACGTGATATGAGTGAAATTTCCTGGTTAGTTGATGAATAGCGTTGATATTTCAGCTATGATAATGACAAGTGCCGTCAGCCAACGACTAGCATGCGTTCACACTCCTGGGACGCTATTGTTGAACTTCGCCCGATACTGGAAATCAGATTTCCGGTCAGAAAGAATAAATAACAACCAACCAACAACCTATACCGCTCAACAAATACTTTATTTTTTATTTTATTTTTATTTTATGGTTACAGCTTGATTCCACACCGTATTTTTTGGTACAAGTGTGGAATTTTCAGCGTGGATATCGGTAGCCCAAAATTCGCAGGTCAACCATAGATATCAGGTGTGTGTCGGCGAGGGCTCGAACCCCGGACCATGTGCATGGTCGGCGAGAGTCCTAACCACTGCGCCACCGGCAAAAGCCATCACTCGAGTGGAACCCGAATGGGAAACAATCAGTGGGGTGTCGGTGCGAGAGTGACATGGAGAAGACATGAATGAGAGACCACTATAAGCCAATCATAGGGCCAGCTAAAGAACCACCGCAGGGAATAGAACAAAATGGAAATGTATACTTTTGAAGCCCAATCTTCCATTCGGAACCCAAGGGAACAATAATAGTAATAATAATATTATTATTAATACAGTATAATCAGAAATTAAAAACCAGGGAATACTGGAGAGCTGTTTCATCAGCCTAGTTCGGAAATCATCTCCAGTACGCACCCGCCACCAAGGATCGAATCCAGGACCTTCCGGTTACAAGACAAGCTGGCTCGTATACCATGCAGCCACTGAGACCCACCTGACTGAATGACCAACCCATGAATTCTAACTTTTACCAATTCGTGATTAAGCGTGACTGGCACTAACCAATGTTGTCGGTGGGACATCCATCCACACACGTGACATCTAATTGGACCTTACTGGTCACAACTTTTCACTAGAACTGACTCCAGGAAACTCCCTCCATCCTGTACCAAGTCATCCTGTAGCGAGCATCAGATTAATTTTCTATAGTTTGGTTTGTACTGCCGGTGATTCTCAAACTAGGATAGGGGAAACAGCTGGCTGTCGGCAGTACTCCCTGTGGCTGGTTTTCAATGGTTCTCTCTAACTGATATCAATCCGTGATCAACTCGTCAATAAACAAAACTAAGCCTTACACAAACCAAAGTATAAGAAAATAATCAAAAATGTTAATTTCAATCTTATTAGTACATAAAGTAGGTGAAATAATGTACCAAGATAAAGGCAGGTTCGGCATAAGTCAATGAATGACTTTGCTAAGTGAGAATATAACTTCCGATATTTTTATTATCATTATTATTATTATTATTATTACTGAGAAACACGAACTGTTTCCTTTTAAAGGCAATAATTTATTCACATGTTCTTAAATAAATTAAGCTGTAAAACAGAATAATTAAAGACTTAAAACACACAGGTATAGATACTAATTACAATGCTGGTTACAATAAAATTTATGTTATAATATCTACCTACCTACCTACCTACCTACCTGACTAACTAACTAACTAACTTGGAATGAATGGTTAATTTGTGTTTCAATGTAATTAGTGTCCTATTACAGGAGAAGAACTAAAATGGACGCCGAAACATTAACACATCCACACACACACACACATACACAGAGAGAATTGTGGTATAAAAGGTAGTAAGTTACGGTTAAGCCACATATCTCCCCCCCCCCCATGTCACTTGTCAACCGTCCAAACACACACACACCTATATACAATTATCTCCAGGTAACTACAATTATATGTCACGAAATGTAGATAGATAGATAGATATTGTCATCAAATAATTGTACTTTCAAATAATTCCTTAAAAAAAAAATTAATTTTTCTGTTAACATGGCAACATAATTTGAGGGGATTTAAACAAAACTAAACTATATTTATTAATTTGTATTTGAATGTGCTGAGATAAGAGGAAGACGTCAAAAAGGATAAGATAGAAGCGAGTGTAGGTGACGTGAAGATATGCAAATTAAACTTGCCGCGTGTTCTCCCTGGTGGTATATATTTGTTTGTATCGATAAGAAAAGAAGAAGGCGGTCAATTGGAATTTGAATTTTCTCATAGTAACTGGCTATTTTTTTCTCTAGATTTTTTTTTATTATTACATATATATAGAGGAATGTTGTAATTATCGTATTAGATGTTACGTTTTACTGATGTTTTTTTCTAAAAGGTGATTTCTACGCACAACTAGAATATCTTGTGTAACTACGTTTGTAATACTATGGCGTCATGAAAATGCCTCGCAACTGATTTTATTCTCACTCAATAGAAAATAGGTAGAAAGAACAATTATTTGGAATAATATAAAATTATATTGAGCTAAATATTTATGAAATGAATACGTCTGCGAAGTGCCTTCACAAAGGACTTTCAACGCAACTAAGCTATGCAGTAGGCTTACTAGCTGACCAACACTCAGACTAAGAAATAAAGACAAACTGTCTTGTTTCGCCTCTTCCGTTTGTGTATTTGCCAGTTTAACTGCCGGCATGGAGCCAGTTACATTAGGGGAGGGAGTGGGGGAGGATCAAACAAGTTCATCGTCGTCGCATTTCTGAACACCTCCCATCTTGGTTTGGCAAAGGTCCGAATAAAAGTGTACACAGGTCAATACTAGTTCATCTCGTCAATACTGGACGCCAAATGGACTCACTCTAACAAAGCTTTTAAAGTTATTCATTGTATATCAGCCAACTCTCTCACCGCATGGTCTACGAATACGACTTTTACATAACACCGGAGGCAATCGGAATTCATTTGAACAAGACGAATTTGTGAGTGTGTTTAAAACAAATTTGTACAGCGCCCCTTTTTCTTTGCTATGACCAACTACATCATGTGTATTAAGTCTTTAAAAAAAACGATTTTTTGGAACTATCTTAGCGAGGTAAAGGAGTGCGTCAGTGGCCGGGGATCGAATTCCTGACCACCTGCGTGGTCGGTCAGCCAGCACTCTACCGCTGTGCCACCGACGCACAATGAACAATCTATTACCCAACATCTATGCAGATGCAAATAAAGATGTATTAGTCATATGCTCAGCAGACCTTTAAGTAACATTATGGCACCAGACCATCGCTCTAGTGGTACCCGAACGGCAAACGACGAGTTTGGCATCCGAGGACGACATGGAGGAGATGAGAACCTATGGAAAATCGTGGAGCTAACTTAAAAGCACTGCAGAGAACAATATGGAATGAAGATATGCTGTTGAAGACAGTATTTTTCACTCGGAACCCGTTGGGAATACTTATAATAAAGCAGTGTGGAACTAGCATACGTTAGATCTTAGGCGTAAGAATGTTTATTCAGAATCACTTTGCTTCATTGTAAGAGAAAAACAACGATAATTAAAAAAGGGAAAGAGAAAACCAACACATACCTCTGATATACTGACTAATTGAAAACTATCCACTTCACCATCAGAACCAACAGGAATAAAATCGGATGGTAATTCTAAATCGAAACAATATTCAATTTGTGGGCAGATACCGCGTTCATCTTCAAAAATGTAGCTGTAAATTAAAAAGGGAAATGGAATTTTGTGTTGCAAAAAAGAAGATAAGGAAAACTATTTCATAATATAAAGAAATGATAAATAAGCTGAAAAGTTGATATTAAAAAAATGGGAATCAGAGAACACGGAATAGTTGTGTTTCGTCCCACCTTGGGACTCTTCAACAACATTCCATAAATCCTCTCATAAATTCTATCTTCTGTCAATCCGTGACATAAATATTACCAGCGACAACAAAAATTTAATTCGTCAAAATTAGTGATTGATATTTTGAAAATAGGCTGCAAGTTGTGCTGAAAACATTCTACTCCAAATGTTCTCCCTGTGAAGACTATTTACCATAGAACAATTGAATCACAAAGCGATGCATTATGTACAATTCAATGTATAGCAGGCATGGGGAGATAAGTCATCAGGGCAGAAGATTCATTTTTCTTCAATAGCCATCAGCATAATGATAAGATCTGGCCACTGAGAGTGAAAGACGTGAAAAGATTCACTGTCTTTGATCATAGGTCCCTGCGTTCTATCTCCCATGTGAAGTAGTATGATAGAGCGAGCAATATTGAGGTTAGGCATCCATCAAGTGCTAGGTAAGGAGGGGAAATCAATCGACAAGGGTGTGAAGTTACATTGATTAAGATGGTTAGGACATGTGTTACGAATGCCCTCCTCGACCGACGAGCAATATTAGCTGACATAGGGTCAGGTTGAAAAAGAGCTAGCGGTGGTCAAACCAAAACATAGCTTCATCAGTCAGTGAAATCCATAACAGTTAGTTTAAGCCAGCCAGCTACGTAGGAAGGTGTAGACTTCCTGACTGGTTAGGGTCCTCGAGGCGGTAAAAAACAATGAAGGCTGGAGACAGTTGGTGATATGACTTAAAATCGTTCTCAATGGCTGGCGCACACGTATTCACTCCTTGTGACTTATAATTTCCAATGAAACTATATGGGTCTTCGTTATTTCTATTTCTTTTGTCTCACACCTCTGTTTACTGTATCTATTATGCATTTCTTCTCTTGCTTTGTGTGTTACATGGAGGGAGTGTGGCGACTTGAAATGCCGCACATATGTGCAAAGTTCTATGTCGAAAACAGACAGATATAATGATAAGTCTGTAATAATTATCAGCTTTAGGCTGCCTGGGTAACAAGAAAGCACATATTGATAAGTCAAGCTGATCACACTGATGGCTGAATAATTATATTTTCATGAGTTCCTTTATGAGAATTCGATCTGTTTCAAGCTCGATCATGTGATCGATATCAATTAGAGAACTTATGGAAACCGCGGAGTACTGTACAACTTTTTCGTACTAGTTTGGGACTAGCTACTAATGCTCGCTAGTGACTGGTTGGTTACAGGATGAAGTTGCCTGTAATTAGTTCTATTGAGACTTCGATGAGCAATGGGGTCCACTCGATCACGAGTGAGGAGAAATACTCGCCAACGATGACACTGGTTACTATCAGTCGCCTTAAAATCACAAATCGGTAGGCGTTGGAATTTATGGGCCATTGGCTGAATAGTTAACGAGCTTGCTTTGTAACTGAAAAGTCCTGAATCCGAACCCCAGTGGGTCCTTAAGGATGAAGAGTCCCAAACTAGTGCAAAACAGATGCCCAATACTCCCTGGTTTTCGATGGTTCTCCAACTGATATTAGTCCGTGAACAAACTTGAAAGAATTATATGTAGAAAGTTTCATTCAAGATGGCAACTGAATTGATGCTGTGTAATTCCACTCAGGGATAATCCTGTAATATGAAAGAAATCTTGTTTACTTGGATATATCTCGCACAATGAAATAAATCGAACTATGCATACAGAGATGTTGAAATCACTGAAGTCGAGGATTTCACTCAGGAAAGGATCACTGACATAAATCCAATAAATATTTATGAACTCAGAATACTGTTTCATAAGTCTCATTTATGATTCCAACTGAGGTTAAACTCAGGAGTGATAAATCTATCGAATAGAAAGGCTGTTCAACTTTCACTGGTTCGGAACAAAAATGTGGTAAAGTTATCTTTGGATGTCGTCTACACGGGTGTTTATTTTGTTTTGTCAGCTTCAAACTCGGTTAGTCCTACTGATTTGCACTTTGTATCAGAGATTCAAGACGTTCATTTGAAAACTATTCAAAAATAAGCATTGGATTATTTTCATTGGACACCAGTAACTAGTGTGACGTGTACAGTCCTTCATTTGGCGCAGACCAAATTCTATCAATCAGGTTGTAATTTGGCCACCATGCCATTAGGTAGCTCACCATCACGGTGCACATTGATTTGATGATATATTAAATAGTTGGAGACAATCGGCCACAGGAAGCCCAACTTGATTTAGGTTTCGTCCTAGTTGGCACTCGTCAGCTAGGAGTATCTGCAACTTTGAAGGAACACTAATGTCCCTTCTGAGATTCGAACCTGCGTCACTCAGTGTCTCCTGCAGTTATAGACGTTACCACTGAACTATTTGAGCTCGCGATTGCCTCCAACCATCTAATATCATCAAATCAATGTGTACCGTGATGACGAGCTACCTAGTGACATGGCGGCCACATTGCAAACCAGATTGATTCATAGAATTCAGTCTGCACCAAAGAAAGGACTAGACACATCACACTACTTACCAGTGTCAAATCAAAATATCCACTACAGTCCTACAGGAGGTCAATCGCGAGCCCGAATACCTCGCTGGTAACGTTTGTGACTGCAGGCAGCACTGGGTGAAGCAGGTTAGAATCTGAAAAGAGACATGAGTTCATTGAAGGTTGCAGATACGCCTTGCTGACTGGTGGGTGCCAACTAGCCCGAAATCTAGGTCGAGCAAGGCTTCCTGTGGCCGATTGTCTCCAACTATCTAATATCATCAAATCAACATGCACCGTGGTGGGGAGATACTTAGAATGGTGGCCATATTGCAAACTTGACTGATAGAATTCAGTCTGCACCAAAGGAAGGACTAGGCACATCACACAAGTTTTACTGGTGTCCAATCAAAAGACCTAATGAGTACTATTTATTAACCTCCTTGGTATGCGACTTTATAATTATTGATCCAGTATTCTTTCACAAGAGCACTACAGGACGAGAGACCCAGATTGTACAGCAACAACTCTTCACTGGTGTTTTGATGCACAACAGATGTCTAACTGATGTTGTTTGTTTTTTTGGATGAACTCTATTTTGAAATTTAGGTAGAGACCTAAAAGAAACCTAAATTTTGGTTGATTACCATTCAAATTATCACTGTAATATTTATCATTGTACACCCACCCACCCCCACGTCTTAAGCAACCTGGTATGGATGAGAGTAGGTAGGCTCCCGTCTTTCTCTCAAAATATTGTCTCATGTCGCCAAGCTTTTATACCGTCTACCATGTAAGTCTTATTCACTGAGTTCATATAGCTGAGACGCTCCTCACAAAAGTGAAAAGATGAACAGGAACGTCTGGAGCTTACAACCTGACTGGTTGTGGACATCCAAATCACCCCAGGTGACTTGGAAAACCCTGATTTCAAACGTGTGGTATATACAGACTTCAGAATCTGAAAGGATCGAATGGCATATGGACGTGTTTTGATCACTGTCAACCTGACACAGCTCCGTTGCCTTGTGAATCAGACTTCATGTAAGAAGTCCGATGGTGGGGCAGGGATCCCTTAGGACATCTACCTGCTTAAGTCTGAATGTCCAAAAATTATCTATGCCCATGCATAAGCAGTGAGATTCCCCGTGTGGCAGATCTTTTGGTGCTCATAATGATATAAGTTTGTATTTTAGAGATGAATTATCATTGCAGCATGCTGTAGTGTTACTTACTACACGGATCAGAGACTTGGCGCCTCATCACGAAGGTCACTTCGAACAAACTACACACTTTCATCAGTATCTGTCTTCGTTCAATACGGAAGATCAGATGGCCGGTTAGAAAACATCAGCAACAGGGGCCTCTAGGAGCGAATTAACCAGGAACCGATTGTGCAACAAATAAGCAAGAAGAAATAGAGGTGGACTGGCCATACTCTAAGAAAACAAACCATCAAGTGATATCACTAGACAGGCCATCACTTGAATGGAACCCGAACGGGAAACAGCAAGCTGAATTGTGAATTGACAGAAGTTAGAATTCATGGGCTGGCCATTGGATCGGGTCCCAGTGGCTTAATGGTCTAAGAGCTCGCCAGCCTTGTAACCAGAAGGTACGGGATTCCAACCTTGGTGGTGGGTGTGTACTACGGATGAGTCCCAAACTAGGCTGACGAAACTGCTGTCCAGTACTCCCTGGTAGGTTTTCCAATGGTTCTCTAACTAATGTCAGCAGCTCATGATGAAATCGTGTAACTAATCAAATCCCTACAAACCAACACTTGAATTTAAATTTAGTACATTTGAACACGTATTAGTGAGTTCAACTCAGTGAGTGGGTATCAAAATCAAACGGAATATTACGCATACAACAGAATGAAACACAAAAGCACACAAAGAAAACAATTTTGGCAGCTAGGGTATTTATTGTCAGAAACTAGTCACTCTATCTTTCTGTATACAGAGGTTGGGTTGAAGTCTTTTGATAGCAATGGCTTCTGTGAACCGAAGTAACCATGCTCTTTTTATCGTACATTCATTATTTTGAAAGTCTGACTAATTTTCACTGTACGTCCTGTGTCAATTAGGTGTCTGACTAGTGCGCTTGAGGACACTTTGTTGCCTTTCAAACACAGACTTTTAGGGATATACTTAGAGAATCTAGTAGACGATCTCCTCTCAGTCCTTCTTAAGTACTTGCTGCCTTAAATGCGGGTGAATTGGTAAGTGTAGTTGGAGTTGACATACGGAACAGGATACTTAACCACTTTTGACTAGGTAACGAGTATACTGTGTTGTAAAGTGGCACCTTTGATTTTGTTCTCTATTCTTCTTAGGGATGACTTCTTCTTCTTCGCCTTTGTAGGGGCTAAACAAATAAAAACTGGTTTCCTTTCAGC